GGATATGCTCTGCTTCCGAACAGGAGAGGATAGGCAAGGACGCCATCTCTGATCAGAAGAAGTCATTTCAAGCACTGTTCTGTTTTTCTTTTAAAAAATTCTCACAAGTTTGTTTCAGCAGAAGATTCTGCTCATACATTTTTAGTAATTGAATGCTATATTTGTACCGCCAGTTTCATTTTGATAAGTGTGTAGTGCGCGCGTGTGTGCGTGTACGAGTTTGAACAATCTAGCGATGTTTTTATCACTTCGCGATGACCGTCATAATTATAGGTGAAAGTAAATGTTTGGAATCAACCGAAGAAGAATATCGCGTTCTACGACGTAGATGAATATTTTATGAACACATTTAACGGAGACGCAAGGTTCGAGTTTAATTGTTTCTGCATCTGTGCAAAATAGGAAATTTCTCTTTACGATCGAATAGTCTTGCTAGTGTAACAAGTACGTGTATTACAGCAGGATTTGAATAATTTTATACATGTGCAAAACAAAATGTTTATACTGAGAGTGGGGAAACTCATGTTGTTTGTTCTAACCCAACTCTGATTTAGGATGAGCAGAGTACACCGGTGTTAATCTTAGATTAGGCGTGGGTGATTTCAAATGATTCTTTACTTTTTTTTGGGGGGGGGGAGTATTAATCAGCACCTGCCAATTTATGAGATCAAATGTGTGGACCGTAACTGACTCGTGCTGGGAAGGAAAGAAATAGGAAAACTGTGCCGTGCATTATGTTGAATATAGTTATGTTTTCTAATACACGATATTTTATAAATACCATGATCATGATAATATTATCAGTACTTTTTTCTGTCATTGCTTTTCGATTTTTAAATAGTGTGGATTTGTCATTCTTCATAAGAAAAATAATATGTTTGCTTTTGGATTTGTCATGCTTCGTGGTTAGAAAGATACATTATATTACATTAAGAATAAACTTTAATAATTGAACTATAAAGCAATTAAAGATAATGAAAAATAATACAAACGATAAAATATAAGTTCTGTTAATGTTTTTTACCGTTACTTTATTTCTTATTACATTTTTGTTATTTTTCTTCATATTACTCTTTTTTTTTTACATTCTAACAGACTGATACGTTTCATATTCAGCACACCAGGGTAGGAATAAATGTACAGCGCTTTTTTTATCCGAAGCCATAATGTTGAACTTATATTTATAAAGAACCTCTGTGTTGAAGCACAATGTATCATCATATCACGTTAATTTATTGATCTTTTCATTAGTATTTTATCCCTGTGATGCAACCAATAAATTATTTAATGCCTCTGTGGGAGACTGTTAATATGAGAACAATCTCATAGAGAGAAGATTGGCTGTCGTGTAATGACGGTTGTTTTTAAGAAAGTTGTTATCAGTTCAAATACGTATAGGTAGCTAGTGTCTGTGTGTACGCAATTGCACCTATATATATGTATGAAACATTCAAAAGATGTAAAAAACACTAGGATACTATCAAAATGAATAATTTTCAGTGAAAATACAAACATTTTCAAAAGAGTCATCACCCCAGATCCCTCAGCTTGTCTTTGCTACTCATCTCCTTTTTTACCTCCAAAACAAGTAAACCCACTTCATAGATTTCTGCCTTAGTGCTTGAGTTAAAATAAATTTTGTATTAAAAATATACAGGCCTATCTACTTTTTCTGATAATTTTTTTGATAATTAATAGAATTGTTAATGGGCTGAACCAGCCTGAAGTTTTGTTGTGGGTGATGCTTCAATTCTGCATTTAACTAAAAATTCAGTGCTAGCATTATTCTGATAAAAACCAACTGAAAAACAGGTCTTGGCAATATTTAAGTATTGAGGTACTATTTTTTGAAATTCAGAGATCTTTTGTAATACAAAATGCTAATAATTTAATGTTATTTTGCAAGTGTTATATGAAGATCTTAACTGATGTTATAGCTATATTTACATGAATATGTTAAAACATATCATCAATAAATACTTAATATACAAGTCTTATATTGTTTCTTTTTTTTTCTTTCGTTCACAGCAGACGGTGCTATATTTACTACATTTATAAAAAGTTTTATAAATTCAGCTTTGAACAACTATTGTTGTCAAATGTATAACTAAACTTTTTAGTTTTAACTCGTTGTTTATTAGGAACATTAAGAAACCATAATGATTTATTTTTTTTAAATTATACAACATGTTTGAAACTTCAAAAATTTTGAAAAATAATAAACTGTAAGTTACTTTAATTTAGAAGTATGAAAAGAATTTAGGCTCATTAATGAAATTGAAAAAACAACCTTTATAATGTTTTCATTTTTACAAAGAATGTATTTATTCATTTGTAATCAGATGTTTAATCAATTGTTATGACCACTGTCAAAAGAAAACAAAATCACTTATAAAGTTTTTTAAGTGCAGAATCATTAGTATTACTGGTATTGTTTAGAACAAATTTTATGTCTGGAATGTTTTTTGTGTGTGAAACAGTTTGATTTATTTTTCAAGCCCAAATTGAGTAATAATAAATGTGAGATTTTATGCCAGTTTTTTTTATGTATCTCACTTTGCATCTTTTAAATAAGCAACTCAGTAGCACTGCTTTTTACTTGTTTGCTTACCTTTATGCTTCTGTTTTATTTAACAGCTTTGATTGGTTGATTTCTGATGAAGATGGGAGAAAGAAGTAAGAGCCAGGTAGATAACACATGCCATAATGTATGATTGGTTGTTTTTTTTATTCTTGTGTAACTGGAGAAGGTATACATTAAGTGTGCAAAAAAAATACAAAAAACTCAATGTGATGTTCAGTGATTGAATGCTTGAACTGGTATTTGTGTTTGGATAATATTTCATTTGTTATGTTTGTTTTACTGAAGATAAACTTGATTTGGTTTTCCACTTATTGGACATGTCTATTTTAAGTGGTAAATAAACTGCTTATTGTATTTGTAATTTTGGTGTATTTGAAACCTTCAGGTGTTTACGTGAAAACTTTTAAATCCATTAAAACAAAAGTAATATGACTTGTGAATATAAAATAAGAGACAATTACTTAATTCACTGTCTTGAAAATTCTTTTAGAAATAGTTTATAATCGGTATCATTAAGCAATGACTGCAGGGGTCAACTGATAACTGGAACAAGTAGAAAAACACTTCAAGAATACTCATGTGGCTGCAATAAACATACAATATTCATATTAGTGTAACAACATAAAAATGTCAACATCAGCTCATTAGATATGAAATTGCACTAATGTCTATCACAAAGCTACTAAAGTATCGTGTTGTAAATGAAAATATAGTAGATAACATAGGATAGAACAAGTGATGCTGGGTAATCCAGGGTATCCAGTATAATAATCCTTTATTTATATATATTTGTTGATAAATAGTTTATGCTATATTTTTGAAAACAATTTTTTGATTTTTTTTTATGCTTAAAAATATGAAATTATTATTCTGCAGAAAACTGCAGTTATTGATGTGATATTGTCATTTAAAGTTAGTTTTTATTCTAATCTTTACAGTTTGCAGGCCTGCTAGCAAATCTTTAAAACTTGTTTTTCAGAAGCTTAACCTTTAAAACCTCTATAATTGCTCAAATAGTCTGCAATAGTCTACTACTGGTTGATTTTTGAATTCTTCAGCCTGTGAAAAATTTACAGTGCTGTACAAAAGTTTTAAGCCTCTTCTATATAATGTTCTGTTATGGTCCTATGATCCTTGTGGAATGAAATAAGGTTCTGAACACAATGTGGAACTTCAAAGTATAGGCAATGATGCATTATGTAGTTTGGGGCTTGCTGTTTTGACTGTAGTAATAAAAAATGTTGCTTACATATAAAATTACTTATTGTTGTACAAGTAAGGTATTAATAGCTTCACATTTTTCTGTCCAGAATGGTTGTTTGCTGAAATGCCAAGAATCTCAACAGAGGAACAAGTGATAATTCTATTTCAATATGAGCATAATTATAGCCAGCATGGTGGTTTTCACAAAACTGGCTTTTCTAGACATGCAATCTAAGAACTTGTTAAGAATTATAAAGAGACTGGTTCAGTAATTGATGGGAAAATTTAATATTTATGTATTTGTGTTTAATGTTATGATCTCTTGATAGGAACTTTTTTTTAAATTCTTTATAAGCAAATACAAATTTAGTTTAGAAAATATTAATTTTGTAGATTGTCACTGTGTCACATTATCTTATACTGTAACTGAGTTTAAATGTACAAGTGATACACCATAAACTGTGAATTTTAAAATTATGGTTCTGTTGATTTGGGCCTTGGTTTATAGGGTTGTTGAATTCTTAATATTTGAGTGGGTTATTTCACAGCCTTTGTAGTTTCTCATCTTAATAAGTAAATGTTTTGAAAGAAAAAATTAAAGGGTGACATTTTATTTAATGATTGTGTTTCCAACAGGGTAAAGTAAGCTGCAAGTCAAACAAAATTTACTTTATACATATATATATATAATTCTTAAATGTGAATATATATCTCTTGGTTGTAGTAAGATTCTAAATATATTGAATAGTTTCATTGAGGCTGCTTCTGCCTTTTGTCTAGTTTTTGGAGACGATGTTTCAAACACTGTGCTGTACTCTTTGTCAGGCCTGAAAAACTCGGCACAGAGTTCGAAATGCCATCTTCAAAACCAAACGGAAGGTAGGAGTAATGCTTTAGAAACTATTCAACAAGACTTTGAATAATTCCTTTCTTATCCAGTGAAACTAATAGCTACTGTAGTATAGACGTAAGTTTAAAAAACTTCTGGTTTTGATGTTTCTCTTTTTTTTTTATATGGGAAGGGGCATTTTCATTCTGAAAAGTGTTAAAAAAACTATTTTTCTTGAACATAGAACTTTTAGCATTATAATGCTGAAAAAGTTTTTGGACAGATATTGCAGTAACCTTTTGAATTACATGACTTAGTTATATGAAAATTTAAGTTGGCTGGATAAAACTTTAATGGTTATTTTATTGCATGATAATATTTCAGATGTCTTTTCGAGGTGTCAGAAGTAGCAAGTTTCGACATGTATATGGATGCCCAGCAAGAAAAAATAACTGTTATGAATGTGTCAAAATTACTAAGAATGCCCATGATAGCCATTTCTGTGCAGTTAACCCAAAATTTGTTGCAGTAGTGACAGAATCAGCAGGTGGTGGTTCCTTTTCAGTTATCCCAATTGAAAAGGTAAAAATCTTCAATTTGTCAACTTATTGTGTTTGTTTACATAAATAGCAAAGACACAGAGTGATTTCTCATTTTGTGCTAATTTATCAGCTCATTCTTAATGTATAAAAAAAACAAAAAACATTTTCATGGCTTACTCTCGTCTGTTTGAAATTGTATTATTTCTGAGAGTTAATTATGTTTCATGAGAACAGTTTTCATGTATTAGTGCAATAGGTTGATTGCAATGCAAGCCATGGTGCAGTGTATTCGATTTACAGCAAATTCCCAAGTATTTGATGAGCTATGCTGCCTAAGGTTGGCTGTAAATGAAATATATCTTTCTGAGGAAGGGTGTTCATATAGTAAGATTGTAAACAGCCAAAGGACACAACATTTCAAAGAAGGGGGGCTTCATTGCTTTCCACTGAATTGAGAAAGTCTACATTGGAGTGCGTAGAACAGTAATATGCTCTAAAACAAATCCTAAAGCCAACCTGTAGTAATGCTGTCATTTGCCAAGTAAAGACTAAGGTTACAGGAGAATTCTATAACCCCCCCCCAAAAAAAAAGAAAGACAGAAAGAAAGAAAAGCATTGTGATTAAATATGTTGCATCTCCTGGTACAGTAGTTAAGATCTTGAACAATGATTTAAAGTTGATGAGAACATGGGCAAAGAAACTAGAATCACAGCAATTCCATTCAACTGCATATTTTTCAAGTCTTTCATTGTATCCCCAATGGACTTTTGTTCCTTCTTGAACTTGGTCTTTAAAACCAAAGATCATGTATTTCACCATCTTTTGCTGAAGGTTGTTACTATAGAAATTGCAATGTTGTGCAATAGTGCATAATCTTGACTGTCAGATTGAACACAGTTGGTGATGAAAGAGGAAGAATCTAGGATAGAATGGAACTGGAAAACCATTCTCATAATCATAAAGTGTGATTAAACCTTAGTATATGCACATTTAAACAGTATGATAACACGAGTGGATAAATTTTGAGCTCTGTTTTAAAAGTGATAAGGTAAAATTTGTAAGTATATTTACTTACAAAAGAAAAATTGACAATTTACAAGGATGTTAAAATTACCTTCACATTAACTGATGTATTTTTTAAATCTTGGTAACTTATTTTCACTTGTTACATTTTGTAAGTAATGTTTACAAACATTATTTTAACTGTTTACACTATTTAAATAACACTGTATTGTTATTTAATTTTCAATAGACTGGACGTTTAGAGGTTGGTGCTGGAAAGGTAACTGGACACAGAGGGCCAGTGCTAGACATTAAGTGGAACCCTTTCAATGACAATGTGATTGCATCTTGTTCGGATGATTGCACAGTAAGTTGTTTTGTAATTTTTGTCTCACAGTTAAAGGTTAGAATCAAGCAATGCATATAAAAAAACTATTGGATGATGAAAAAATTAAAAATCACAATTCTCAATTTGAAATAAGGAAACCCTATAGACTTGCCGTTTCTATTTTCAGTTTCATTTGGATATTAACTAGAATGAGCAAAACCTATATGATTTGTTTTGTTACAAGTCTGGGTGAACACTATATATTTTTGATACTGTGAAAAACTGAAGCTATTAAACTTTAGCCAATCAGGAACTCTGTGTTCATTTTCAGTTATTAAATGTTTGTTATTATCTGGTACTTGCAATGCAGTAACGTATACATAGGTCTGGTTTTTGATTGGATGCCCAGGTTTTTATTTGTGTTTAGAGAATTCCCTTAAGATACAAGAGAAAATTCCACAAACATTATTTTATAAGTCTGAAATTTTGAGAAGGATTCAAAATTGATAAGCAATATATGGCAGTCATTTTCCATTCCATAATTTTAAGGATTTGGTTTATAAATTAAAAAAAAAGATATTTCCAAATCTTTTTTCATACAATCTACAAAATAAGTATTGTTTGGTACAAGAGCATTTCTTTCATACAATCTACAAAATAAGTGTTGTTTGGTACAAGAGCATTTCTTTCATACAATCTACAAAATAAGTGTTGTTTGGTACAAAGGCATTTCTTTCATACAATCTACAAAATAAGTGTTGTTTGATACAAAGGCATTTCCTTCATACAATCTACAAAATAAGTGTTTTTGGTACAAAGGCATTTCCTTCATACAATCTACAAAATAAGTGTTGTTTGGTACAAAGGCATTTCATTTGTAGGTATTTCAAGGATGAACTTGCAGTTTTTACCTTTGAATTAGTATATTCTTACTAGGGCCCTGCGAAGCTTCAAGATTCTATGGGATTGCGAATCGTGATTGGGGATTTGATTCGTTAGCTGTGGATCTGATTCGATATTTTCGAATCCACATTACATTTGGTTAACTTTAGAATTTAGCTTTTAATTCAGTCTATATACTGGAACCTATTTCCTTGTAAAACCATTTTTGTTACCTTTCTTCTTTCAGATGTTTAAGTACATTATATCTTTTGTTTTTAGAAAGATTTACTTTGTCTTTTGTTCTCAGAAAATTACTAATTGTGTGTAGAAGCATTCTACATAAATAAATAAACCATTTTGTATTTGATTTAAAATTAAATTTAGCCTATATACTCTATAATCTACATATGCACTGCTGATTTGATTCAAGATTCGATTTGATTTGAATATTTTGGGATGATTCGATTGTAAAAACATTTTGTGATTCACAGGGCCCTGATTCTTATGTACTGAACTATTACAAAAATTGTGTTTTGATGATATTAATGAGAGTTAGTGGAAAATGTAAATACATAATTTCTTATTGGTTTAATTTACACCTGACGAGTGCCATTACAAACTTACATGTATTTAGGAACAAACAAATAATTTTTACAAACCCCAAAAAATTAGGAAAACTCAGATTTTGACTATATATATATTGGTTAGTGTAAAAGTTGCAAATTATCAGTTTTTATACAAATTTACACCTGGTGTTAATTCAATTTATCAAACCTCTGTACCTTTAGAGAAAAGCTTCAAAAATAAATAAGTATCATCCTTCTTATCTCCAAAATTATTTATTCTTGCCAACAAAAATGCATTACAGGTAAAACACTTAGTATTTAATGCTTTTTTATGAATAATGTTTAATTACATGAAGCTCTCACACCTTGTTTATTCAAGTAGACAACTTCATTCTTGTGTTTCTGGCATCCTCATTCTTCAGTACAACAAACAGTATTTCTTGCATTCACAGCACAGTGTTCCACAAACTTTATGTGCGTTGATAGTGATGTTCTCCAACAGTTTTGTTCTACATGTTCATTTAATTTTTATTTCATTACAAATTATGACAGTAAAATATCTAGTTAACACATTTCTACTTTATAGAAATAGTTGTTGATTACATATGCAAAGAACAGCATTTTTTGTACCATCTTGTATTTTAACTAAACCAGGTATGCAACTTACAGTTTTATAAAGTACTGGCTGCTAGTTGTGTATTGTGGACAACTACTGTTTCTAATCTACAGACTTTAAAGACACACACATTTGTAGTAACACATAAGTTTTGCATAGTTCATTGTCTTGAAGAGCAACATGTTCCACTTGTACCATATTTGGTCATAATGCACACACATTAACAAAATCTAGGTGATGAATTTTTATGATAATAAATTTTTGTTTATGTGAAGTGATGAATTTGATAAATGTATGTGATTGTGTGGATGTAATGTCACCATTCAAAATGTAGATTACAAATGATCTGTAAATTAAGAGTACTAACCTCAAGTGAAAGTTAGAGACATTTGGAAGAGAGAGAAAATTTGGTAAGTTAGATTTTCCGATTTAGCAAACTTAAGTTCACAAAGTAGTATAAGTTACTTACTTCTATCCACCCACATAAAAAAGAAAGTCCCACCCACATCTCCTTTTCCTAGCATTTTTTTTCATTTCTGTACTAGGCTAACAGTTCAAAATGAGTCATATAAAACAGTTTGGTATTTTAAAATTTTCCAGTGTTGTGTCAAGAAAAACCAATGATCAAACAGTTTTTAATGAAATTAAATGCTTCAATCATCTTTATTTTTTAAGGAATAATGGACCTCCAGTATTGGTGAGAGTCTGTTATTTTTATGTATAGACACTCAAAAAATAATGCACAAAAATAATTTTTGAAGGGTTTAAAGATATTGATGCAAATATTACAGTACATTGTTTTGTATGAACAAAGTTTGGTTGATTCTCTGAGGCACTGTGGGGCCTTTTTAAATGAAATTTATGGAAATAACTGCTCGTGGCTTTACAAATATTGGGATGGTCAGGTTGGCTTTAAATGTGAAGGTTGTGAGATGTTTCACACAATAATTTGTTTTGAAAGCCAAATATTTGTATTTTCATGTATCCTAGAGAAGGATTGGTATGTCTCAGTCAATCTTCTCTGGGTAGTGGGCCTCAGGAAAATTTTAAACCCATGAATTCGGACCAGCTTTTCCAGAAACTTTGCTCAATGCTATTAAAGTATTTCTTATTGTATTCTGTTTAATAAAAATACTTTAAAAAATATTATTAATATTGTTTCTCAGTTTAATAAAATGTAAAATGTATTAAATATCTGTTTATCATACTTTATAAGGACAGTGTTCCAGGCCTTGTGATACTTTTGGAAATGTTTTTTTTTCATAATTCATTGTGCTCCTCAGTCTGATAGCCATGATTATACACTGTAGCCTAGTATCACAATTTCTGTCATAATGAACTTCTGTAAAGAATGGTGAGGCCAATCTTAGACCATTTATCATGGCAGTCCCTCTACTGCACATGTATTTTGACTTCAAGTACCATGTTTAATTAGATCAAAGCAACAAAAGTCTGCATTGGAGAGGGCCCAGCATGGCCAGGTGTTTAGGGTCGCGGGTTTGAATCCCCCTCACACCAAACATGCTTGCCCTTTCAGCCGTGGGGGCATTATAATGTGATGGTCAATCCCACTATTCATTGGTAAAAGAGTAGCCCAAGAGTTGGCGGTGGGTGGTGATAACTAGCTGCCTTCCATCCAGTCTTACACTGCTAAATTAGGGACGGCTAGCGCAGACAGCCATCGTGTAGCTTTGCACGAAATCCATAACAAACAAACATTGGAGATATTTTATAAGTATGATATTGAATGTTACAGCTGTGATTTCAGTTTTTGTCCATCTTTCTCATGAAGACAGCTGTAGATTTTGAGGTATGGTTGTAAGCTTCTGAGTCTTTATTAACTTCAAATCCTTGTTTACCATCTCATTAATGGTATCAGGAGATATGTCCACCTTCATCACACTCCCATTTTGATTGTAGGGATCTTCTTTCAAAATTGCATCATTGAGTTTGCAGATGAGAGAATTACTCTTTATCTGGAAAACCTCAAAGATTCCCTTCTTTGAAATTTTGTGTCTTGTGTCATTCAAGAATTTCACTTTACAAATATCCTTTCTCAGAAAGGGCTGTGGCATATTTCTCCAGTTATAAGTCTACTAATGGAAGAATTGCACCATTAAATAATTGAGAATTTGATAAATCAAGTATATTCCCTGTTGTGTTTGTGGTGTAGCATTTAAGGGAGTGGTTTTTATGACTATATGTATAGTTAATGTATTTGTGGAAAGTTTTGAACTTTACATCAGTTAACTAATGAGGTTTGTACAGGAAGTGTTCAGAAACAAACAGAATTTTATGTAGGTCATTCACATGAGACTACAGCAAATAACTTTACATCTGTGGTATTGAGAATGTGAAAAACCACAACACTTGACCAAACAGTTCCTATTAAGTACAGTACATTTCTTCTACCATTTGATAAGCATAGCTTATGTTAAAGAAGCACTGCAGTAGATAGAATATAAGTCTTTACATGTGGTACATATCTTGAGTCCTCAGAGTGTAGAGATGAGAGCTACTCGAATTATTTGCATTTGTTTTTGTCGAGCACAACTATTTATTTCATACGTTATGTAGATATATTAATTATAAAATATTCTACATCTACTGTGATTTTTCTTTGTACAGTGTTTGATAATATTGCTTGTTGAATATGCAAAGTAGTTTTTTATGATCATTGTCAAAAATTTTAGATTAAATTATGTTTTATATAAAGTGTTTGAAAATATTGACTGTGTTATTTGATAATTTGGTATAATTCTAAAACATTCTAGATAAAACTCTGGTTCATCCCTGATGAAGGCTTGATGCATTTTAACCTGACAAAACCTATCATGGATCTGCAACACCATCGTCGGAGGGTTGGCTACATTGAGTGGCATCCAACGGCTGAAAACATCATTCTTAGTGCTGGTTTTGACAACTTGGTAAGGAAATTTGTATGTGCACAAAAACACGTTTAGTATAAAAAGAAATAGATGCTTAAATTAAAGGTCATAAACAACTTTCCAGTGAATAAAATCCAGTCACCATTGGTTACCTGTTATTAATGTTTTATTTAACACCTTAAAAACTCTCTCCTATATAATTTCAAACTTCGACAAATATAACTGTATAAAAACATTTCAGTGAAGAGGGAACTAGGATAATAATTCAACATTATATTATGATCATTTTTGTTTCTTTGTAAAGAAAACACAACTGTTGTACTATTTGTCATCTAAAAAAATAGAGATCCTGATACAATAGCATCCCTTCAACTTTGTCTTTTCAGTTTATTAAAGTTAGTTGCTTGAAGTTAGAAAATGTTGAAAGTAGAGAGATGCCATTGTATTATGTTCTTCTTCCATTTGGGGTTGAAATTAACATAACAGATGGGTTAAATTTATAATCTAGTTCCAATCATTATGCTATGGTATTGAATTACTGCTCCTATTCATTTAACGTTAACATCTTGTTATGTCTGTTTAGTTCTGTGAAATTAAAAAAATTAATAATTTGATGTTAAACTTAGCATATTGACTTGCAGCCTGCGGGTCGCAGGTTCGAATTCCCATCCCACCGAATAGGCTCGCTCTTTCAGCTGTGGGGGCATTATAATATGATGGTCAATCCCACTATTCATTGGTAAAAGAGTAGCCCAAGAGTTGGCAGTGGGTGATGATGACTAGCTGCCTTCCCTCTACTCTTTCACTGCTAAATTAGGGATGGCTAGCATAGATAACCCTCTTGCAATTTTGTGCGAAATTCAAAACAAACAAACAAATTTAGCATAACTGTTATAATATTTTTTATAAATATGTGTATATGTATTTTTCTGCTAAAATACATGTTTAAATATTTAGCTAGAATAAGATGGTGAATTTAGTTTGTGAATTAAAGAATAATTTTTGAATTAGGGGTTAATTATCTGGTATTAACTTTATTTCATAGAAGGAATAATGTTTTTTTCTCAAATAAAAAGTGATTCTTTCGTTATTACTCATTAAGCTGTCTTTAATTATTTTAAAGGCTTTATTTACATAATTCCCTCTCTGTAAAATTATTCTAATCTTTTTGATTTCTTAAATCTATCCTAAAATAGGAAATTTTGCTATAAAAATGAATCTGTTTTATTGTTACACCTGCAATAAAGCCATGTTTTTGGTATATGAAAACAAAAAGGTTCTTCTCTGGCACATAAGTAAAGGAGAAGTTGTGAAGACCATCGATTGTCACCCTGATTCCATTTACTCAGTGTCTTTCAACCGAGATGGCAGTTTACTGGCAACTACTTGTAAAGATAAGAGGTTGAGAATCATAGACCCTCGACAGGGAAAAGTGGTTATGGTTTGTTTTATTTTTTGTTGATTAGTTTTGAATTGTGGTATTAAACATGTTATTTTTGCTTGTTCATGACTTTGTAATAATTGTTATAGTTGAATTTTTTTTTTTTAATTATCGGAGAGAAATGAATAGGTTGTGTATTAAAATAAATTCTGTTAATTAACTGATATTTAGCTTACATGGACTGTAAAAGTATATGATTTTTCAGTAGCTTCATTTTCTTACTTAAATATTTTATTTTATTTTATTGTGGGTTAAAGAAATTACTTTCAGCATATATGCTAGTATCAAAATTTCTTTTAGAACACAAGTTTTGATTTATTAATAAGAACAAGTTCCTTTGTAGGAAGGTCCTTGCCACCAGGGGTCCAAGGCCTCCAAAGTTGTGTTTCTTGGGGATACTGGACGAGTTTTTACAACTGGTTTTTCCAAATATAGTGATCGACAGTGGGCTGTGTGGTCACAGGTGTGATTTTCATGTTGCAGTCTTTAAGTTTTCCTTCATAATGTTTTTTGTTTGCTTTATCTAATAATTCTGCTACTTCAGGTTAAAATAGTTTTTAGAACATTTGTAAATGTTGGGAAATAGTATCTAAACTTGTTTATGAAAAACACAAATTTTTGCCATGCTTATAACAGTCTTAAGATATAATTTGAGAGTGAAGTCTTCAGATATGTATAGATACATAGACAAATTTTAATAAAAAAGGTTTATACGCTGTTTCAGTATGACCTTAGTGGACCTTTGAAAATAGAAAATATTGACTCATCATCTGGAGTTATGTTTCCTTACTATGATCATGATACCAAGATGGTCTTTCTTGCTGGAAAAGTAAGATTTTTTTTCACTTGATTACCGAAAAATAGAAAAAACTGAATTTTGATGTTTACTCTGATAATTTCATTATTTTAATATATTGAAGCTATAATTTATTAATATTTACTAATATTTTGTATTTTTATCTATGTAATACTTTGGTGCATTGTTCTTTTTGAAACATCAATTATTATTTTTTTATATCTTTTGAAAATTTTTATATTAATAATAATAATATACTGAAATGTCACTGAGTATGAATATTAGTTGTTCTCTATTTATTAATTAATATTACTCAATTGTCTGCCTAATTTGGTTATAACTTCTAGTATCTGTAACTTGTACTGAAATATCACTGAGTATGAATATTAGTTGTTCTCTATTTATTAATTAATATTACTCAATTGTCTGTTTAATTTGGTTATAACTTCTAGTATCTGTAACTTGTACTGAAATGTCACTGAGTATGAATACTAGTTCTCTATTTATTAATTACTATTACTTAATTGTCTGCTTAATTTTGTTATAACTTCTAGTATCTGTAACTTATACTGAAATGTCACTGAGTATGAATATTAGTTGTTCTCTATTTATTAATTAATATTACTTA